GCGGCCGCCGCCGGCGCGCGCACACTCTCCCGCTGCAGCCTCCGCCCTACGCTCCTCCTGCCACCGCCTCCTTTCCCACCTCCCTCCTGTCCTTCGTCTACTCCTTCTCTCAGCCTCACTCTCTGACCCCGAGGGGCGCTGCATAAGCAAAGATAAGCCAGCCAGGCAAGGCCCCAGGCTCTAGGGGTCGCACACTGGCAACTGAGTGAAGGTAGTGTGGGTAGAGAGGGTGGAAGCAGCAATTGCTTCCTGGAGGAGGTGACGACGAACAAGTTGTTGCCCAGGAGTATATAAGAAAGAGTCTTGAGAGGCGGAGGTAATGTTCTGGAATCAGGGGGTGGTGGTGGGGTAGTGGTTAAGAGGATGGCTGGGATACTAGGATGTAATGAAAAGGGATCTGCAGGGGCAGTGCCAGAGCCTCGACAGCTTTGGGCCAGATATTAATACACATCTGTGTTGCTAGTTTCTCAGTCTGTGCACTTTTGCACGTTACACAGGAGGGGGTATGAGGCAAGTGGTTTGGGCCAGGGGCACAGACTTTATTAATTCATTCTCATTCAACATTCTTAACCTAACCAGAATATTTTTTTTAAATTTTTTTTTTTAACCTAGCCAGAATAATGGTCTCCTGGCAGATGGTCCTTGCTGTCATGCTAAAGGACAAGATGTATCATCCTTGCTGTCAGAGAGCCCACACTTGGGGGGAATGAGATGGCTATTGGAGGGTCCCAAGGACACTTTACTCATGGGAGTACATGGTGCAGAACCTACATTAGATTCATTCACCTGCCATGTGTGGGTCCTAACATTCACAACCTTCATCCAAGAATGACGTGTGAGAGCTTTGGTATACAGAGGAGTGAGAATAAGGGCTCTGGGAGCTGTTAGCCCCCCAGACCTGAAGACACTCAGCTTCCTCAACCCTATTCATTCCTCCACAGTGCAACCTGTGGCAATGACTGTGGCCACCTGAAGAGGAATACAGCATGGGAGGTGTTGGCCCAGGCAGCCTAGACAGCCTGGCAGGGTTCCCCTATTATCCTTTTCTTTGTTCAGTTGTTCAACAAGCGTGTGTCAATACTGCGCTGAGCCTAGGAACAAAGGTAGAATAGAGATGATGCCAGCCCAGGGAAGTCCCTGACTTATGAATAGACAAACAATCTTGTCTATTTCTACACTGTATTCCTGGGTCTGGGTCAGTGCCTGGAATATAGTAGGTGCTGCATAATTTCACTGAATGCATGCTTTCATTGTCTAGGGTCAGAGTGCACTGGAAATCATGTCTGAGGGTTTTCTTTGGAAATCCAGGGCTGGGCAAGGCTGATATGTTTGAGTCAGTCTTGGAGAAAGAATGAGAACAGGAAGTCACCTGGGCAGCGGAGGTTGTGCCAGGACTTCAATGCTTATTTAATGCCTTGTGTGTTCAAGGACTGATCATCCTTCCTTTTGTCCCTCACCAGAATCAGTCCATTTATAGGCCCGCAGAATTTCACAGTCCTTCCATCTGTATTTAAATACTGACCCTACTCAAACATGACACTACATACTATGAATTCTCCCTAAGAAGGAAATAGGAAGAGAGCTATCAAAACACACTGCCCCCCTCCCCAAGCCTCCACATTCTGCCTCTTATACCATCTGAGACTCGAACTGGGACCAGCACATGGATCTCCCTCATCTGGCTCCCAAAGTTGGAGCGTCAGACCTTTGCCAAGCAAGAACCTTTTGCACTGTCTGGTTTCTACTTATCCTTCAACCTCAGTTCAAACACCTCCACGTCTTGAAAGCCTTCCAGTCTCCTCCTCAGAGGTCCTTCCAGCTTGCTGGGCTCCTGAAGTGCTGTGCCTTTCTAATCATACTAAATTGTCATTAGACTCTCCCATGCAATGGGGAGTGTCTCAATTCAGAGCCTGGGTCACTCTGGTTCTTGCTGGATCCTAGGAATAACTCATTGATGGGACAAATGACCAGATTCTCTCCATGGAAGAGTAGGTGGCCCCTGGGGTGTAGTTAACACCTCCACAGAGACCTCCCATTTTTCTGCATCTTCTTCCTCCAGCTGGAATAGACCTCAGACAAGATGCCGTTTCCTGCCCTTGACAATCTTTGGTCTGAGATCAGAGGTAGATTGGAATAGACTGTGATAACACAGGGTGATGTGTTCCCCAGAGAGAGGGCATGAGATCCCCTCCCCATCTCCCAGAAATTGCTCAGGAACCCTTAATGTATTGCTTAGTTAAGTGAAAGGTTGGCAGTTCTAACCCACCAGCTGCTCTGCTGGAAAAAGATGGGCAGTCTCTTTCCATAAAGATTTACAGCCTCAGAAATCTGATAAAGAGTCATTATGAGTCAGAACCTAATTGGTGACAGTGAATTTGTGAATTTGTGTCACCAGCTCAGGCAGGTCAGGAAACCAGCAGTCCCGAGCCAGTCACCATTGATCTGTAAAGTCAGGAAAATTCTCACACTGTCCTCTCCAATTTGCAAAAATGTGACCCCCAACGCTTCATGCTGCCCAGCCAACAAATTGCCAGTTGCTCTTTGTCACTGCCTTGGAATTTGCTTCTTTTTCTCTCTGGATTCCTGTAGATGAGATACAAAGACCCTGATTTAAGTGGTTTAAGCCACTTGCTAACTTAAGTAAGTGTGTTACTTAATACTCTCTATGCCTCAGTTTTCTCATCTATAAAATGGGAATGACAATAATACCCAATAGTATTAGTTATTTACTGCTGTATAACAAATTATTTGTTGTTGTTGTTGTTGTTATGTGATGTTGAGTTGCCTGCGACTCTATGTACAACAGCTCTGAACTCTGTCCTATCCTGAGCCAATCTCACTCCAACATACCTATCTCCGTTACCCTAATCACTGTCTCAATCCATCTCTTCCAGGATCTTCCTCTCTTTCACTGTCCCTCTACCCTTCCAAGGATGATGTTCTTCTCAAAAGATTGGTCCCTTTTGGCAACATGCCCCAGGTGTGTGATTTGGAGCTTTATAAACCTTGCCTCCAACAAGAAACTTTGTTTCTACCCGCTCCAGGACAGGCCTGTTTTTTCTCTTGGTGGTCCATGATATGTTCAGTACTCTTATTTAGCACCACAAGTCAAAGGCAATGATTCTTCTGTCATCCTTAGTCATTGTCCAACTCTTTGATGCCTAGCAAGTAATTGTGAAGACTATGGTCGGGAACAGGTGCACCTTAGTGTCTAGACTGACATTGTTTCTCTTTAGCACTCCGGAGATGTCCCTGACAAGAGATTTTTCTAATGCAATTCGTCTTTTGATTTCCTGACTGCTGGTGCCAAGAGTATTGATTGTGGAGTTGTGTATAACAGATTACAAGTTTATAATTTAGCATCTTGGAACAATAATAAAAGAATTAACAGCTGGAAACAATAAAAGACAAAAACTCATGATCAAGTCTGAACCAACTCATAGCTGACCTTCCAGTTGATTTTCAGAGGCTGTAAATTGCACAGTAGATTACCCACCTTCCTCCCTCGGAGCAGCTAGAGGACTCAAACTGCCTGCCTTTGGGTTGACAGCGCAACTCATTACTCAATAGGCTACTAGCACTCCCTTCTTGAAACAATAATACATGTTTATTATCCTCACAGTTTCTGTGGGCAGGAATTTGGAAATAGCCTGGTCAGATGGTTCTAGCTCAGGGTCTGTCATGAGACTACAGTTGTATACAGGGAACTTGGTGACTTAGTCATAGCCTTGCTAACTTAAAGGTGTTGCCTTTCTAGTGATCTGGACCCGCCACCAATTGTTCCAAGCAGAAAAGAGGGGCAATCGCTTTCAGTATGATTTACAGCCTTGAAAATTCACTGGAGAGGAAACCATGAGTCAGTTCTTACTCAGAGGTTGAGCTTTGAGAGGAAGTGTAACTGGGACTTGATCTAGGCTGGCTTTCTTGCATAGCTGGCAAGTTTATGAGGACTGTGAAGGAAGGACTCTGTTCTTCCATCTGTGGATTTCTTGTGGGGCGTCTTGAACATCTTCACAACATAGTAGTTGGTATCCCCCAGAGCAACTGATCCTCAACTGAGAGAGAGAACAAGGAGGAAATCACAATGTGACCCAGCTAGGAAGGTCACACTGTCATTTCTACAATATCCTATAGAATACACCCCATTGATTTACCTAAAAAGGCATCTAATTGCTACCAATTAGAACTGTCTCATAGCTGTTCATCTGGCAGATTTTCCGAAGCTATAAATCACTGGGGAGGGGACTGCTCATCTTTCTCCTGAGGAGCTGCTGATGGATTCAAACCAATAAAAGCACCACCTTTGGGATAGCAGCACCATTCTGTGTGCTCTGCCCCACCCTCTGTGTGCACTGTCCCACCTTCTGTGTGCGCCGCCCCCACCTCCGTCTGCGCTGCCCCCCAGTGTGCACTGCCCTCCGTGTGCACTGTCCTCCTCTGTGTGTGCTGCCCCCCTCTGTGTGCCCTACCCACCCACCCCCGTGTGTGCTACACCACCCTCCGTGTGTGCAGCGCTTCCCTGCTGATTACATGGGGTCAGCTCCATTCCATGTGAAAGGGGACAGTACAAGAGTGTGGCTACCAGGAGGCAAAAATCATTAGGGTCCAGTCTTGGAGGCTAATAGTCTATCTCACAAGTTACAGAAGTTAATACACGTACGTAAAGTGCTGAGAAGAGAATCTGGCATGTGGCACCCACATTATGTAAGTGTTTGCTATTATTGTTTCTGGTACAGAGTGTATAAGCACTCCATAAGGATTGTCTACAATTATCAT